CATCAGGTTCTATGTGACTGTAAGGACAGTTATAAACAGTGGATGAGAAGTCTCTCCTGTCATAATGTTTCTGCCCATGGCTGGCCTTGTGCATCTCTCGCACATTCCCAAGCACCCACAGTCATTGCTTTTATGACACAAGCTGCATTGGAATGCATCTCATCCCTCTCTTGCTTGTTATGCAGAGGTTCCTGAGTCTGGAAAATCATGGGAGAAGAGCTGCCATTGCATAAGCCAGGAGGGTTGGCCCTGAAAGATCTGAATTTTCTCAGAAGACAGCTGTAAATCCAATGACATACTTTAGATGATTCCAGAATCAACCAGGGCAGATCTCAGCTTGACAAATGTCTTGGTGGCTGTTGCCCTTCCACTGCTCACTAAAAGTCGATCCCATGAAGCTGCTGACAAAAGAACTAAATGGGATGCTTCATAGGAACTGTAGGCAGAAACCATCCACAGCGACTTCACCGCTTCCTACACACGATGCATTTGTAGAGACATGTGACTGTTTAATTAGCAATGTGCCATTTTTGTGAAATTCATGATTTAAATCAAATTTGTACTGAGAACTATAATATGCCAAATACAAAATATTCACAGCATTTTTGAAAGAAGATAAAAGCATTTCATAAGGGCAAGGTCACTATTCTGAAACATGAGCATCAGGCCTCCTGGATCCCATGCAGATATATTAAATCATCTGTTATCACAGAAGGAGGTTTTAGAAATTAGCTCAATTTTTTTTCTCCCTGAGCAATTAGACATTTCTATAGATTACACTAAATGTTATGGAAAGCATAGATTTTAAGAGATATCATTTACTTCCTTGTATTGCTGTGAAACAGAATAATTGGTGCCAAATAATCTCAGAGGTGATCTGTTTCCCTTAGGGCTCTTCTGGCCTTATGGGTTAAAAGAAGACCACTATCATGTTAACCAGTGCTTTAAATTTCATATATGGGCAAGTAGGTGAAAGATAGAAACTGACCTTTCTAAGTTCTTCTGTACTGATAACCAGAAACACACCATCACTAATTAATTAGATATTGCCAATTTTCTATCCTTTCTAGTTTTTGCATCAAAGCATACTGATGTGTGTAGAGACATGTTAATATTCTCTTATGATTCATTTATTACTGAAAGATATTAAAGGGTTCCTACTTACTATGAAGCACTTGCTTTCCGAATACCTCCTTCTACTGCAGAGACTGAGGTAAGTCAGATTAATTTGGTTTTGTACCCTCAAAATGTAACAGGAAAGTCATGATTGAATTTCACGTTAAACTCATCAATTCTACCAATTTTCATTGATTGCTTTAGTCTTGTATGATGAAATACAATATCACGGTGATGAAATTGAGGCCTGCCTTGTTAAAAACCAACTAAACATGCTCGTGAGGCAGTAAGTCCTATCTGACATCCGTAGGCATTTTTTACCAGTGTATACTGATAGTCCATGTTAAGTCTATCTCTTTGTTTTGTGTGAGGGTTTCTATGTTTGATGAAATGATAATGAACATAGAAACATAAAATTGTAAAATTATACAATACCGGTTAAAACCTTTCATCTTATCAGCTACAGATCATCAACCATTTTTTCCCTTTTACATATATAAAAATAATTATGTAGATTAGTACATAGTAATATAGGCAAATATATACATAATTAGACACCTTTTTAAAATGTCATCCTACTATACATATCCATACTAATCTGTTTTTGTTATTAATCTTCTTTCTTTTTGCTCTTTTTGAAGCAAGGTCTCCCTGTAGCCCCAGATATCCTGGAACTCACTATATAGATCAGGTTGGCCTTGAACTCACAGAGATCCGCCTGCCTCTGCCTCTCAAGTGCTGGGACTATAGGCGTGCGCCACCACACCCGGATGTTATTAATCTTTTTATAAGTAATTACTGATTATCGCTATTGTCTTTAGTATATCATTATAAGAATGACCGTACTGTATTTCACTAATTTCTATTTGGCAATATTGTAATATTCACTATTATAAATAATATATTATGGGGACCCTTAAATATCATGTATATATTTTTATTTCCTCACGATCATTTTATAGATGTGGATTCCTTAGTAATATAAAAATTATGTCTCAACTATCAATAAACAGATATTTCTTGATACTTAAATTGCCAATGGAAATAATCGTTGACTTTATTATTCTAAGCTCTCTCTCATTGCATAACTATGCTATTCCCCTCATTAGTTGAGACAATATTCATTGGACTTTTGGCATCATTGTTTGAGAAAATGGATGCACAAACACAGGTTCTCAGACTCTTTGTAAAGAGCTGCCCATCTACAGAATTTGCCCATTCAGTTTCAATAGATACAGTTCATTAGTTGAAAACCACTTTCCTAGAAATGTAGTAAAATATGACACCCAAGTAAGAGGGATACGAAGCACTGCAAACTTCAGCTGAGGAACCGACTCCCTGGTAGTGCTTCCTCCCCTAGCCAAGCCTGAGGTCCTGGGTCTGGGACTCAGCACCCACCACAATGACCAAGAAACGCTAAAACCAAGCTGATGAATGGTGAAAAGCCTCATCAGGAGAGAGGATGGGTTGAACTTCAGAGGTTCATCTACTTGTAGATATATCACCTGCTGAACCAGTTTGCAACAATGAGATTTGCTTCAGCTGCTGTTCTTGGTCAGGCATGCTATGAAAGCTGCTAGCTGCAGGTTTCTGTGCTGTTGACAGCCTTAAGTAGCTGTTCATACTGAGGAGCTACTGGCTCAGAGGAAGAAGGATCAAGGAATTGCACAGAATGGGTATCTGCCTATTTCTCTCTCTTTCCTTCCCTCCCTCCCTCTCTCCCTCCCTCCCTCCCACCCTCTCTTCCTCCCTCCCTGTCTCCCTTTCTCTCTCCTCCTCTCCTCCCCTCCCCTCCCCTCCCCTGCTCCCCTCCCACCGCGTGCAAACTTCTTTTCTGACAGTCTCTCCCTTCGTGTTTATAAGAATGCTCCAAACTAGCCCCAAGCCTAACCTACACCTCACAACTTCTAAGGCAGAAGAAAACTTCTCATACTCAGCATCCAATAGAAAAGACTAGGATTGCTCCAAGGAAAGTCATTGTGCATTTCACCCCACCAACATTGTTAAAAGTAGGACAGGGGAATTTCCTTAAAAACAACAGCAACACCACCACCCATCACGTTGATGGTTAATTTCACTACAGTAATCTTTCCCTCAGACCTCTCTGAGGGCTGCCCAGAATACAGATGCAATTTTTAGTTTGTACTGCTCAACTTTAGTTAGAAAAACTACAACTTACCCAAAACAAAGCACCAAGATCAAAACTCTGACCAACATTTGTATTTTAAAGGATATTTTCAGAGACATGGTTAAAGCAGGGGCTGAGGATCTGAAAGTCCTCAGATCTTCCTGTCCACAGCGAAAGAATATTTGTTGTTCTTTCTGAACAGAGGAAGCAGCATACTGTTAGGAGACGAATCAAATCTGCTTCCTTTCATGAGTAATAAACAGGCATATACTAGTAGACTAATGCAAGGTGGCCAGTAATTTAGCCTGCACAAAATATATCACAACCACTAAGGTAATGTATTGATATGTTATGCATTGTATATAAAACCTATGAAAAAAATCCAAAAGTGTCACAGGCTTTGCATAACTCGCACGTCCCTAAACTATTAGAGCTAATGTTCTTTGTTTTTTACTGGTTTTCTTTTGGGAAATATTCACATAGAGCGTGTATAAATATTGTGCTTATTTATAATATAAATATTGCACACATTGCTTTAGTTGGTAAAAGTCTCTTCATCGTCAGTGGTTAGGAGTATATGACCTTTCTCCTGCTTTTCCTTTCATACTTCTTGGGTAGATTACTGAGCAGCAATTCATGAATGCCAGATTTTTGATAAACAATTTTCTGATAATTGTGTAACCTAGGAAAAAAGCTAAGCTTTTTGGAGTCTCAATTTCTTTATTATAAAATTTGGAAAATAGGAGCTGGAGACATAAATTAGTGATTAAGAGCATTACTGCTCTTCCAGAGGACTTGGGTTCAGTTCCCAGCATGCATATGGCAGCTGACACCTGCTCTTAACTCCAGTTCCAGGGGATCCTACGCCTCTTTGGCCTCCACGGGTACTGGGTATGCATGTGGTCCACTTATATACATGCAGGCAAAATACATACGTATAAAATAATAATTTAAAAATCTTTAACTAAAAATTGGAAAATATACTTAGCACATCAGGTAAATGTGTGCATTAAAATTGGTAACACATATATGTGTGCAAAATGTACACTGAAAGGCAGGACACACTTACCAACAGCTGTCACCATTTACAAGGGACAATGCTTGAGATAAATGCAATAATTCCAACCATGTTTATGTAAGTAACCATTCATCAAATAGCTTCTAGGTCATAACATTAGGTGTTGTGGTTTAATATATAAACTTTTCATTACAATTGGATCTCAAAATTGGTTACCATATTCAAAATTTCATTAATCTTTCATAAAACAAACTGCGTAGGTGTAGTTTCTTCTTTAATGATAACCGTATTTGCCGGAGACCTGTCTTAAATCAATAAAAATTAACAACTGCTGCTTTGTGCTATAAGCTGATATACATTACAAATCTAAAATTTGTTTTGTCTATATTTTGTTTGAGTTAAAAAATTCTCCTAATCGTTATCCCTCCCATCACATTCTTCACTGTCCCAAACTATGTGTACAACCTGCCCCTTCTAACAATCTGTCTCTTTCATCTACAGATTATCTTCTATGTAGCAGACACCTTAATTGAGTTCAGGTGGCAGCTATCAGTGAGCTCAGTCCTCATGGAGATGAAGATGAATGGCAGTTCTGCACGCCAAAGACCCATGGCCCAGCAAGAAATGAGATGTTAATGGGACCAGTATTAGTGGCATGTCTGCATACAAAACAAAGACAAAATGCTCAAACTTAAATGATAAATATTTCCATGAACAGAGCCCTGTCTTCTTCCATACCTTTAATATTCCTGTATTCTGGGGACTGACCATGTAGAACCAGAACCGGACAAAACACACTCCAAGGCTTGCTGGGAAGGAATTCGTAGTCATGATTCTTGCAGTGGATTCTTCTTTGAGGAGAGAAGAGTGGATGTACAGGAAATTCCCGCCACTACCTTGAAAAAGATTGATACATTTTGTTTTTCAGTGCAAAAAAAATTTGTAAAAAAATATCATTTTCACCTTAAACACACACTCTGCCTCTCTCTCTCTCAGGCAAAATTAAACAAAATTGACAACTTGTGAGCTCTCTCTGAATAGCATTCAACTTTTCTGAATAAAAATGATTTTGCTATGATCGTGTGATATACAAAATTGATTCTGATGTGTGATACATAATTTACATGATTTTTTGTTTTAATTATGTGTGTGAATGTGGGTATGTGCATATGCATATGTGAGGGCAAGTGCCCAAGAAATCCAGAAGAGTGTATCAGATCCCCTGGAGCTGTAGTTACAGCCGGTTGTGAACCATCAGATGCGGATGCTGGGAACTGAACTGGAATCCTCTGGAGGAACAGCAAAAACTCTTAACTACTGAGCCAGCTCTAAAGCCCCCAAACTACTCAAACATCTGTGTAGCACGTCCCTTCTAATTTTCTCAGACTTGTCAGTTTCAAGCTATAGAATACTATGCAGTGCACAGAACAATCACAGAGTACTGGCAACGGACTGATATTGTATCTCATTATAACCAGAGTATTAAGGAATGGTTAAAACTGTAGTAAACTGCAATGCTAAGAGCCATTATATCATTTTGCTTGTTTGATTGGTGTGTGTGTGTGTGTGTGTGTGTGTGTGTGTGTGTGTGTGTGAAGTCTGACATTTGCTTGCTTTTCTGGACACGTGTGGAGGCCAGAGGCTGATGTCTAACTTCTATTGCTATCCACCTTAGTTTTTGAGGCAGGGTCTCTCATTGAACACAGACACAGTGCCGTTCACTTTGGATAGATTCCTGGCCAGTGATCCCTGAGGATCCACATGTCTTCATTCTCCCAGAACTGGGGTGCAGCTCCATGCTGGCTTTAAAATGTGTTCTTGGGTTCTGAACTCCGGTCCTCAAATTTGCACAGCAAGGACTTTATACACTGAGCAAGGACTTTTTATTTCCCAGCTTCATTTTATTGTTACTGTCTGAGCTATAAATAACTGCTGTGGTCCTTGGGTGTACTAATAAGCCAAAGATTTCTATACTGAAGTAACACTGGACTTTTCGTTGACGTTATTGTCAAAATTTATCACGATACTCTTCTTTTTTTGTGGCATCATCTTGGGTAGTGGATAAGCTAATTAACTTTTATAGTTACAAATGAAGGCTATTAAATTATTTTCTAAAATACTGCTTTTTCACGTGATATTAGTTTTTGAAGTCAGTCACCACAGCATCTTTTCGATTTCTTAAAGTGGGACTTTGTATTTTCTTCTTGCTTTGGTTAAGCTGCTTAGAGGTTTTCTTTTTATTTGTCCTTTCTTGCAGGTATTCTTCATTACACCAACATTACAAGTACCCTGGACAAATTAAGTTTTAAAGAGTGGGCCTGAACTCGGAGGACACTGATTCCCTTCGCTAGCTATTAGAACTGCATGTCTCCCAGAAGTATGCCTGCAATGGCTCTCTCTTGTGCCCTCAACCTGTGCAGACAGAACTGTCTGTGTCCTCACCCTGTGCTCATGAAACAGTCCCAAGAATTCTGTTGCTTCCACAGTGCCCCCTCCCCGATCAGGTAGCACCCATAATTTATTCAAGATCACTTCTCCAGCTTCCTTGGGGAAGTACAAATTCAATTTCAGGCTCCACACTTAATCCTCACAACCTGCTGGTCTTTTCATTCCTGCTTCCCATTCATTCTGTGTGCTTCCCACCCTCCCCTGCTTCCAGCTCCTGGGTGCGGTGGGTGTGGTGGGTGCGGTGGGTGTGCTGGGTGCACTGCCTACAGTGCTTTTATAAGTAAATTCTCAAGCACGCCCACATTTATTCATTATCTTTTGGATGGGGTACCAAACCAAGGTTGCCAAGGAGATGTCTTGTCATCAGAATCAAGCTTATGGTTTTGCTGGTGTTAGTTAAATCATTAGTCCAGATTATGTCCATTAGTAAAAGTCATTCCTACACTTTCAAAGGACTAAATCTTGCCGATTTATTTTATTTTTTTACATAGTCCGTTAATATCTACTCTAATATTCAATCCTTCCCTTTCTTCTGTTTGCTTTGGTTTGAAATTGCTTGAGTAACTTTCTTTTCTTCAAGTTTATGCAGTTTATGTTCAAAGTTCCCTGTATCCAATGCATTTGCTGAAACTCAAAAATTCTGACTTCATGTTTTCTTTTTAATTCAAATATGTCAAGAGATTTCTTGAAACTTCTTGTTTGACTCAAATGCTCTTTAGAAGCTGTTCAATCTCTGTGTCTTTGGGAATTTTAAAGTCATCTTCCTGTTGTTGATGTCTACCACTCTGAGGTGAGATGTGGGGAAAAAAATGGGAAAATTAAAAAGGCCTCATTTATTCTAGTCATTGAGATTCAATTTTAATATAAGCTAAAATACACGCATGCAAAGGAAGAATTCATCTGCTTTTTGTGAACTGTGTGTTTTCCCAAAGAGAATCTGATAAAAGCACTCGGTATGTTTCTGTTTCTTTAGATTTTTTTTAGGTTTCAAGGCCCATGGCATGGCGGTTTGTCACATGATTTTTCTCTGTGACTTAGAATGTGTGCATTCTGCTGTTGTTGGATGAAGCCCTCTGTAGACGTCATCAGATCCAGCTGGCAGACGGTGGTGTCCCGGCAGCCATGTCCTTCTTGAATTTCTGCCTGACAGATCTGTCCACTGCTAAGCAAGTTTTAGTCTCCAGGTATAATATTGTATCCATTTATTTCTCCTTTGATTTCTATTTGATTTTCCTTCACAAATTTCAATGTTCTAATATTATGTACTTACACTCTGTGAATGAAAGTTCCCAGAAAAAAACTGCAGCTTAAAACCGAACATTCTATAAAGGCTGATCAACTGATTAGAACTTCAGTGATTGTGGAGAGTTTGGAATGTTACAGGTTCAGAGCTCAATTGTCATTTATCTTGGGGCATCTTTAGCCCCTAAAATAGCCACTTCTTGACCATCTTTGTTTCTCACTTAACATCCTGTGACTAACAAATAAAAGCCTTTTGGAATGTACTAATTTAGCAGACCACCAGCTTCCACCAATCAAAAAGCTAAATGCCATCAGATAGATTTCTCTTTTGTGCATTGGCCTACTTAATATTTCCATCAATGTAATTGAAAACTGTCTTGATCTATGAGTGTTCTTGGCTCTGTTGGTATAACTTCCTGAAACTGTTACCGTGTTGGAACACAGAATCTGGGGTCACCTGAATCTATGTTCCTAGGCCATGGGCACTCATATTTGGCTCCAGAGTAAACTTTCTCTCTCCCTCTTTGAGGTGAGGGTTATGCTTTTACGTTAACGATGTTAAAGACTGTTTATGTCTTCCGGGAGAAATGACCTCTTCATGTATGCTTTGCTACAGCCTTGATAATTTGCTTTTCTTCAGTCTTCATCTGAGCGCTCACATTCTTTTGATGGTGTTATTGCTTTGCTTTGATCCATCTGTGTCTTCTTATTTAATATAGATCCTATACTGACAGCATGTATTTCCGGCTCTTTTTCCCACTTTGGCAATTTCTGTCTTTTAATTGGTGAATCTGAGCGATAGTGCTTACTCATTTAGCTAGATTTTTGATATAGCTGGACCAATATCTATGATTCCTGTTCGGTATTTCACTTTTTTCCTTCTCTGTATATCCCATCTCCTCTAGCTGTAACGAAACATTTTATAAGACTTATTTTTTCATCTTCCTAGTACGCTAGTTGTATATCTGGTAAAAAGCATTTTTTTCTAATGAATGACCCTGTATTTGAAAATTACATTGCAATGAACTCAAGTGCTTCAAACACCACCATGCGAGTATTGCCTGACAGAATACTGACATTTAAGCAATGAGTTTGACGGCATACTGACATTTAAGCAATTCATCTCTTACTACACTGTTGAACATTTCTCTTCCTCTGTGTCAGTTAAGTTCTGGTCAAATAGCTTATTTTAAGGGAAGATCCTCTTAAGAGCAGAATGTTCTGAGTATTTCAAAATGACTACTTTTCCCTCCCCTTGCCGAACGCTGAGAAAAACTCCTCCTGTCTATGAACAGGGTGGGATTTCATAGAAAATGTTTCCCTGAGATTGTTCCTCCCTGAATTTCATCTCCCAAGCATTTCCATATTGAGGCTGCAACTGAGACAATCATAGCTTAGATTTCCTATCCTGGTACTGTTAATAGGCCCTTAAGTTTAACTGGTCCAGACTATAAAATCTCTAGTCTGTCTGTTGGAAGAACCACGTTTCCAGTTTCACTGGAAATCACCTGGTCATAGGCCCACCCCTGGGAGGGCAGGTTCACCTTATGTTATGCCAAATAGATGGGCAGAATACCTAGTGCATTAATGAGATAGTAAATTTTTCCTGCCTGGAATCCCACTTCGCAGTGTAGAACTGCTGGACCAGCCACAGTCATGTCTCTGCAAGTATGTCCACTTTTCTGAATTCTTCAGAAAAGCATAATTTCTCCTTTTCTCCTTCGTGGCTTTCTTACCAAACATGCTTTCTCTAAGGCTTGTGCTGCTCCCAGCATCTTGTAGCTCTTCACTTTTTCTCTAAAGCTTCCTTCGCCCAGCCACGTGGCTGCCAGGCAGCCATGTGTCTGACCTCCATGCAGACTCTAAACCTGCAAGGCTTCAGGGTTTTGTTCCCTTCTCCCCACCATTCACCACTCAAGGCAGCTGCCGAGATTACCAGCTCACCTGCTCTGAGGACTTTTCTTTAAAATTCTGTTAAAATTGTAAAGGGACTCCCAGATAGTAACCCAGCATAGAACTGGGAAAATGAACAGCAGACCCCAATCTTATCCAAAGGAATATTGACAACTGATTACTGCTAAATGAAGAACAGCTGATCCTCCTAAAACAAAGCCCTCTAGATAGGCTGACTCGATTGACCAGAAGGGCAAGTAGTGCGGAATAGCTGGAGGTGCCGACAACACAGCAGACAATAGCAGGGATCCAA